TTTTCCAGGCTCTGAGGCCCTGGGTGAGTCACTTAACTGCTTCATGGGTTCAGGAGCTTCATCTGTCAAATCAGGCTAATGTCATCCAAACGTGAAGAATGATGGGGCTGGGTTCTACACATTGAAAAATCTGTTGCGCTCTTTGAAAGGAGAAGGACGGGCAAACAGAACAGTGAGAGACTTTTAAAATTTCCTTTCTAGTCCAGCCTACATGCTGCAACTAGCATAACAATCTGAAAGCAAAGATTGCTGGAGAGTGGCTGCAAACAGATGTCCCTCCTCCCCTGCAGACCATGGATGGATTCCTAGATCCCCTGGAGAAGGAAATGGCAACCCACTCCAGTATTCTTGCCTGGGAAATCCCATAGACAGAGGAGCCTAGTGGGCTATAGTCCATGGGGTCACAAAAGAGTCAGACACAACTGGGGAACTGAGCACACTCACATCTAAGCTAGGCAGGCAAAGGGCTTCTAAAGTGAGCCCCTCGCCAAGCGTATTTCCAATTTCTTGATTGGAAGAAACTGTTTCTTGATACGCCCTTCTCTATCCTATCCTATATGTCAGAGGTTAGTAAACTTCAGCCCATGGGCCAAATTTGGACTTAGGCCTATTTTTGTAAGTAAATTTTTATTGGCACACAACCATACTCATGTATGTACTGTCTATGGCTGCTTTTGTGCTGTGGTTATTCAGTTGAGTAATTCTGGAAGAGACCATACATAGCCTTTAAACTCACAAAGTCTAAAATATTTACTACCTGGCCCTTTACAGAAAAAGTTTCCCAAACCCTGGTATAGACCAGTCTGTTTCAGTTTTTTGGCCATGACCCACAATAAATATGTTTCACAGTAAGACCTACTATACACGTAGATACCTGTATATATATTTGTATATAAAATTTCCCAAAATAACATTTACCTTTACTAAATGCAATGCATCTGATAGTTTCTAGTCTATTATATTGCCTTAAAAAGTTGTTCATGACTGTACCAATCTCATGACCCCAAATTAGCCTTGATTCATATTTGGAAAACACTTCTCTAGATAAACTAGCTACTTACTTATAAACAGCTAGCTACTTACAACACATGTCCTCTCATCTCCCATTTCTATTACTTTCTTGACATTGCTGTCTCCATCTAAGAAGGCTCTGTCCTGTCATCTCTATATGTGCAAATCCTTCCCATTCTTTAGAAACTACCCAACTCCCATCTCTTCCAAGAAGTCGGCTTTGAGCCTCCGGTTCCAAACTACTTTCTCTTTTTCCTATGTCCCACAGTACTTTTTCTATTTCTCTACCGTGGAACTTCAAATTTTCTGTTTTGTAGAAAAGTTATCTGTGCATCTTTCTATGTACCCTAAAGATTTTGAGTTTCTTAAAGGTATGGTCTTAAGCATTTTGTATGCTATATATCATCCAATATTGTGCCCTGTACTCTGTAAGTACTGAATAAATGTTTATTACATTGAAGTCAGCAAATATTTGTTATTAAGGGTATAATATGGTTTATACATATAATATTTTATTATTTAATTTTAAAGACTACAAATTTATGGTATATTGTAAGCACTCACTAAGTAAATTGTTTATAAAGACAGAGAGAGAAAGGAAATAATCTGAACTTACCAGTTCTATCCCAGTTGTTAGATTTGTGTTACTTTAATAACACAGTAGGAAGAATTGTTATATACAATATACAATTCCTGAGTTTTTTGAGTCACAGTCACTGGTTTAGACATACAGAACACCTATTTTTCAAAGCATCAGCAGAGAAAAAATGTAACAGTTTTAACTGTCCTAAGCAGACCTGTCAGCCACACATTCTGATATCAAACATAATCATTGAAATAGCTTAATACAGTCTCTCCTTTTCCAGGAGACAAAGATGCCTGCCAACCCTTTTGTACCATTAATGCTGTTAGAATCTAACTAATTTTGCTAAAAGGAGAAAATTTCTCAGGAGGAAATTCCTTCAGGAACTCCAACATAGCCTAAAATGCTGTCATTATGACCAGTTAAAGTGTCTTTACTACAACCTGTTTAATCACAACCAAATAAGACTTTGGTTAGGAATTCAAGGGTGGTTTGATATCAGCAAATCAATCATGATATTTCATTACATTCACAAAACAAAGGAGAAAAAAACACTAATATGTCACTTGATTCTGAAAGGGCATCTTCCAGCAGCCATTTATTATATGATTCTAAGTAATATGAGAATGGAGGGGGTACTACATAAGCATGACAAGGATTTTACTAACATTAAAAAGCAATCATTAAAACAGATGGTAAAATACTGAATTAATTTCCATTAAAATCATGAGCTATCACAATTGCTTTTTAATATTATTTTTAATATTGTAGCTAATGTAATAATATAAGAATATAAAATAGAAGGCCTAAATAGTAGAAAACATATAAAAAATCTTTTAATTGTAAATTATAAGACTGTATATCTAAAATGAATGCCAAAAATGTGGAAGTGTTACAAAAGAAAATACCATAGTTAATAACAGAATCCATTATCATGGCTGCAAACCAGAAAAAAAAATTATTAATAGTTTCTCTACTGAAAAATCTCCTTTATAACCCATCCTCACTTTCATTACACAGTAAAAATATCCCACGCCCGGGAGAATTTGAAGCCTGTAACACACTAAAGATTATAACAGAAACAATGAAACTCAAACACGGCTCAAGAGTTAATTACATTTAACTCTTTAATTGCACACTAATGCTCTGATAGAAAGAGAAACCCTTTTCTTTGTGTAAATATTAATTAGTTTCTACTGTTCTTATACACATACAGTCCAGCATTAAATGAAAAATTACAGGATATACAAAAACCAAGAACGAGTAAACCATTGCTTTATCAACAGACAAAGAAATCAAGAGAACCAGAACCAGAAAAGAACCAGATATTGGAATTATCAGTCAGGAAGTTTATAATAACTATGTTTAACATGTTCAGTAATCTAATGGAAAAGAAAAACAGCAGACATAAACAGATCAATAAATGCATCAAAGAGATGAAAATTATTTAAGAAGATTCAAAAAGAAATGCTAGAAATAAAAAACACAGTATCAGAGATGAAGAAATGCTTCACTAGGCTCAGCAAAAGACTGGACACAGCTCAGTAAAGAATCAGTAATATGCCAATAAAGATTATCTAAACTGAAACACAAAAAGAAAAAAGAGTAAACAAAACCAAATAGTGCTTGTAAAAGCTCTGAGACAAACATATGGACACAAATTATCTAACATACAAATAACTGGAGCCTCAGAGGAGATGACAGAATAGGGAACAAGAGATATTAAAAAGGATAATGGCTGAGAATTTTCTAAAATTAATGAAAGACAACAAACAACAGATACAGGCATCCCAAAGAACCCCAAGAAGAATTTTAAATATACATGTACCTAGATATACTATAATTAAACTGTTATAAACAAAAGAAAATATTAAAGACAGACAGAAGTGGGAGGGAGGGGAAATTTGAATACAGAGCAACAGTAGTAATTAGAGCTGACTTCTTGGGAACTATGGGCTTCCCTTTGTGACTCAGCTGGTAAAGAATCTGCCTGCAATGTGGGAGACCCGGGTTCAATCCCTGGGTTGGGAAGATCCCCTGGAGAAGGGAAAGGCTACCCTCTTCAGTATTCTGGCCTGGAGAATTCCATGGACTATTGCACACTAATGCTCTGATAGAAAGAGACACCCTTTTCTTTGTGTAAATATTAATTAGTTTCTACTGTTCTTATACACATACAGTCCAGCATTAAATGAAAAATTACAGGATATACAAAAACCAAGAACGAGTAAACCACTGCTTTATCAACAGACAAAGAAATCAAGAGAACCAGAACCAGAAAAGAACCAGATATTGGAATTATCAGTCAGGAAGTTTATAATAACTATGTTTAACATGTTCAGTAATCTAATGGAAAAGAAAAACAGCAGACATAAACAGATCAATAAATGCATCAAAGAGATGAAAATTATTTAAGAAGATTCAAAAAGAAATGCTAGAAATAAAAAACACAGTATCAGAGATGAAGAAATGCTTCACTAGGCTCAGCAAAAGACTGGACACAGCTCAGTAAAGAATCAGTAATATGCCAATAAAGATTATCTAAACTGAAACACAAAAAGAAAAAAGAGTAAACAAAACCAAATAGTGCTTGTAAAAGCTCTGAGACAAACATATGGACACAAATTATCTAACATACAAATAACTGGAGCCTCAGAGGAGATGACAGAATAGGGAACAAGAGATATTAAAAAGGATAATGGCTGAGAATTTTCTAAAATTAATGAAAGACAACAAACAACAGATACAGGCATCCCAAAGAACCCCAAGAAGAATTTTAAATATACATGTACCTAGATATACTATAATTAAACTGTTATAAACAAAAGAAAATATTAAAGACAGACAGAAGTGGGAGGGAGGGGAAATTTGAATACAGAGCAACAGTAGTAATTAGAGCTGACTTCTTGGGAACTATGGGCTTCCCTTTGTGACTCAGCTGGTAAAGAATCTGCCTGCAATGTGGGAGACCCGGGTTCAATCCCTGGGTTGGGAAGATCCCCTGGAGAAGGGAAAGGCTACCCTCTTCAGTATTCTGGCCTGGAGAATTCCATGGACTTTACAGTCCATAGAGTCGCAAAGAGTCGGACAAGACTGAGCAACTTTCACTTTCACTTTTCTTGGGAACTATGCAAGCCAAAAGATAAAATATATGTACATATGTTTTTTTAATTTCCAAAACAGAAAGTTTTGAAAGAAAGGGAAATTTTTAAAAAGAAGGAAAAATGGGCAGAAGATGTGAGTGTGTCATAGCATGTATCCCACTAGGTTTATTCAAATTTTTTTTTTTTTTTGCCTCTAACTCCTTCTCCAGCCTTTGATTCACAGTGGATTCACAGGTTTCCAAACTGGGGTCATTGAGTGCTGCAGCCACCCTCTCCAGTAATACCAACCCAATAAAGCCTACCAGTGCCAAAGCTCTCTTCTCCACACAGAGAGCACCGGCCCGAGTCCATCAGATTTGAGAAGAATCTCCATCCAGCTGGGGTCTCATACACAGGCACCTTCATTGATTTGGCCACTCTGAAAAACAGAATTTAAGGCAACAATCAATCCATATTTCTCCTTTTTTTTTTTTTTTTCGCAGCACAAAAGCAAATCTTTAAGATTTGTTTATGCCATAAACCAGATTTTAGAACACCCTGAACAATGTGGACAGTTTTCAAGATGTGAAGCCATAGGTGAAAGTTTATGGATAGCATATTCTCACATTTATGTTTCCCTTTTATATATATTCCTTAACCTTTGTGGTAAGATCCAACTGGGGATCTGAGAATCTAAATTAAGGTGGTATTTGGGTGCAAACATTTTGGAACGCTGTTTGACATTATCTACTAAAGATGAATATGAGGAGGGCATGGCAACCCACTCCAGTATTCTTCCCTGGAGAATCCCAAGGACAGAGGATCCTGGCAGGCTATAGTCCATAGGATTGCACAGTCAGATATGACTGAAGTGACTTAGCACGCACATACTAAAGATGAATATATACACATCCCATGAACCAGCAATTCAGCTCCTAGAAAATAGTAGACACTGTGGTTCACTGCTTAGCTTTACCAAGACCCCCCCCACACACACACTTTGGTGGTTTAGTTACTAAATTGTGTCTGACTCTTGCAAACCCATGGACTGTAGCCCACCAGGCTCCTCTATCCATGGGATTTCCCAGGCAAGATTACTCAAGTGGGTTGCCATCTCCTTCTTCTCCAGGGGATATTCCTGACCCCTGGGTTTCCCACATTGCAGGCAGATTCTTTACCAACTGAGCCAATAGAACTGGAACAGTCTTTCTATGAGCTGCTAGAAATGTTGATTTTCTCTTATTCTCAAAAATATATTCTCTTATATATTCAAGAAAAATATATAATCATGCTTACATCCTGGTAGGAATAGTGAAATAAATCCTCCCCAAACTGGAAAGAAAAAGTTTTCAAAGCCATTAATTTCACGGTCAGAAGTTCAACAAAGGAGAAATCATTCACACAGAAGCTTTCAGAGGCAGTTCACAGTAAAGGCTGGCTCAAAATTAATTTAGCTAAAATGAATGCATATGACTACAAAATAGAATGCAACATGGGGCAGAGGAGAGGGTAAGAGAAAGGCTAGAGGGTGTGAGATATATATTCTCTGGTTAAAGCTTTCTTGTTGGTTCAAAGCCAAGTTGGCAGAACTTAAGGGAGGAGAAAGGATTTCCCCAACTCCACCCTTTTCAGTTAATCACTCTTAGGAGGTCATTAGGCTAAAGGCTGAGGCTGGATTTTAAAGGACTGGATACTTTTATAATTATGAGCCACAGTTGCAGTTATGCAAGCTAAGATAACAATATGGGTAATTAAATTCCGGGATCCCAAGCATGAGTTGATTGTGTCCTAAAGTCAGAAAGGAATTCCCCTCCCTGCTCTTTCTACTGAACTTGGGATCCATCCCAAACATAGCATTCAGCAGATACCAGGCTGACTGGAGGAGCCTGGCCTCTTTTTGGCAGGAGGTCCCGGTGGAGTCTCTGAAACTCTCTGGTACAAAAGCTAAAACTGAAGCTGCTCATGCTGAGGGTCTGCTCCCCTCTTCTTGACTCCCACCATCACACGCTGGAGACAAATAAACCTCACTTCCTAGGAAAGACCAGAAGGAAAAGAAAGAAAGTGAATCTGGGCCAAAATTTCCCTAAAACTGGGAGTGAGCTCTCATAGCAAAAAAAGGAAAACACTGGAAAACAAAGAAACATGGTAGATACAGGCTCCTCACTGTGGATTTCAAAACCTCTCACAATGTGGTTGAGGTTGAAAATAGCCTCAGTCTGCCTTTCCAATACTTTCTCTCATGACCCCTTCCATATGTTCCTTTACAAAAGCTGAACTCTCTTTTTTCTTTTATTTTTGGGGGGTGGTGGTCACCACGCAGCATGCGGGATCTTAGTTCCCCAACCAGGGATCAAACTGGAGCCCCTGCTATGGAAGCACAGAGTCTTAATCACTGGATCAACAGGGAAGTCCCAATCATTTCTTATTTTTCAAATATGCTATTGCATTTTTGTTGTTGATTTCTGAGTCCTTCTTCCTGCTTCTCATGTTGCATGGATTAATCTTCCTTTCCAGTCTCTCAGAATACTTCATGTTGCTTCAAAACCTATCTAAAATGTCCCGCCATCATGAATCTCGTGGCAAAGATTGCTAACGGTCAATAAATGCATCTTTTCCTGGACACACAGCTGAACTACATTTCTTAGCCTCCCATGAGGTTCGCTGTGGCCATGTAGAGTTCTAGCCAGTGGAACTCTAGTGGAGATAATGCATACTCTTTTTAGATATGGCTATTAAAGCTTCCCATCCTCCCTGTTCCTTCCCCTTCTGCCAGTTTAATGTGGACAAGCCCCACAATTCCAGAAGTCACATGTTAAAGATGGTGGGCCTACAAGTTGGAAGGATCTGAATCTCTGAATCACCATTTGGAGTAGAATTAATCACCAATCAGGAACACTTGTTTTTAACTTTTAATGACAGAGAAAAAACCTTTTGCTGTGTTTGACCCATTGCACATTTTGGGATTAGTTTTATAGCAGCAGCTCTATTATCATAATAATACAATTTGTTTTTCNAGGAGATCCAACCAGTCCATCCTAAAGGAGATCAGTCCTGGGTGTTCACTGGAAGGACTGATGTTGAAGGTGAAACTCCAATACTTTGGCCACCTCATGCAAAGAGTTGACTCACTGAAAAAGACCCTAATGCTGGGAAGGATTAGGGTCAGGAGGAGAAGGGGACGACAGAGGATGAGATGGCTGGATGGCATCACCAGCTCGATGGACATGGGTTTGAATGGAGTTGGTGACGGCCAGGGAGGCCTGGCGTGCTGCGATTCATGGGGTCGCAAAGAGTCGGACACGACTGAGCGGCTGAACTGAACTGAACTATGTACCTTTATAGCTCTTCAATGTCTAGGATAACAAAGTACGTTGTCAGACTTGCCCTCAATAAATTCTGTATGATTTCAGTTGCCTAGTATCTACTATTTAAGGAATATTGTTGAATAGCAAGGGGGAAAGTATCTCTACTTGATCTTTTCTCATTTTAGGTTCCTTATATTAAGATATAATCAAGTGATTATAAATTAATCATTTTGAGCAAAGGGAATTTCTCCAGGTATTAATCCCTGTGGGTGGGGCAATCAGAACAGGGGCTTCTCTGGGGGCTTAGAAAGTAAAGAATCTGTCTGCAATGCAGGAGACGGGTTCAGTCCCTGGTTTGGGAAGATCCTTTGGAGAAGGGAATGGCTACCCACTCCAGTACTCTTGCCTGGAGAATCCCATGGACAGAGAAGCCTAGTGGGCTACAGTCCCTGGGGTCACAAAGAGTCAGACACAACTGAGCGACCAAGCAGCACACACAGCAGCAGTACACAGCTATCAGGACAAGACAAAGGCATTTCTTGAAAGTCAAGACTTTAGAACAGAATCACTGCAGTGAATATTATGAGAATCAAAGGTTTGAAAAGCAGAAAGACACATTATTTATCTTCCCAGTCTCGGTAGTCACCTTACCCTCATGTGCTCAAACAAGGTAACAGATACAAAAGTATCCTGAAAAATCCCTAAAAGCTAATATAATACAGGTGCTAGCATATAATACAGGTGCTAGCATAATTCATTTTTGTGCCTCCCACATCCAGCACAGTGTGTGCCCAGAAAAAAAGAAAGAAAGTGTAGTTGTTCAGTCATGTCAGACTCTTTGCAACCCCATGGACTGTAGCCTACCAGGCTCCTCATCCATGAGATTTTCCTGATAATAGCCCTGGAGTGGCTATTATCGGAAGATCCTTCTCCAGGGGATCTTCCCGACCCAGGATTGAACCCTGGTCTCCCGCATTGTAGACAGACGCTTTACCATCTGAGCCACCAGGGAAGTCCTGGTGCGTGCCCACAGTAGGTATTAAAATATCTATTAACCTAATTATACAGTGCTACATCATTGGGTGCAATAATATTTTACTGGAATGTCAGTGGTTATTAATGACTCTCTTACCTTGCTATAGAACAGCCAAATAAACAATGACTAATTATAGCAAATATATGAAGCAGAATCAGCTGTTCCTGGAATTCTACTTTAAGAAAGTTGCAATAGATTTAAAAAGGACAAGATCCAGGTCCCTCTTTTTCTGATTTATCTTCAAACATCTACTTTCTAAAGAGCTTAGCAGACTTCTTGGTTCTATTTTCAGCACGTTGAACTCCCAGCCCCTTTTTAAAAAGTTCCCATCTACATAGATTATAAGATACCTGCACTGCGCATGCGTCCTGCCACTTCAGTCATGTCCGACTCTTTGCGACTCTATGGTCTGTAGCCTGCAGGGTTTCTCTGCCCGTTGGATTCTCTAGGCAAGGATACTAGAGTAGGTTGCCATTTCCTTCTCCATCACAATGTGTATCAGTTATCAAATCATCATGCTGTACACTTAAAATATATTATAGTTTTATCTGTCAATTATACCTCTATGTAGTTAGAAACTTTCCTGACTTTCCCGGTGACTCAGACAGTAAATGTCTGCCTGCAATGCGGGAGACCTGGGTTCAATCCCTGGGTTGTGAAGATCTCCTGGAGAAGGAAATGGCAGCCCACTCCAGTACTCTTGCCTGGAAAATCCCATGGACAGAGGAACCTGGTAGGCTACAGTCCATGGGGTAGCAAAGAAGAGTCAGAAGTTGTTCAGTCATGTCAGACTCTTTGCAACCCCATGGACTGTAGCCTACCAGGCTCCTCATCCATGAGATTTTCCTGATAATAGCCCTGGAGTGGCTATTATCGGAAGATCCTTCTCCAGGGGATCTTCCCGACCCAGGATTGAACCCTGGTCTCCCGCATTGTAGACAGACGCTTTACCATCTGAGCCACCAGGGAAGTCCTGGTGCGTGCCCACAGTAGGTATTAAAATATCTATTAACCTAATTATACAGTGCTACATCATTGGGTGCAATAATATTTTACTGGAATGTCAGTGGTTATTAATGACTCTCTTACCTTGCTATA